AATGAAAAAAAAAGAAATAGATATTGATGAAAGTATGAATGAAGATGAAAAAAAAGAATTATTTAATATTGAAACACTCAAAGAAATTATTGAAAAGATAAGCATATTGATTTACGTTTAAAAATTCTTTTTGATTATTTAAATTTAATAACTAATGATTGGAAAAAAATAAAGGCAAGTGAGATTATAGTGACATCATTAGAAAAAGGATCTTATCATGCATGACTTATTTGAGAATAGGCAAAACAATATACTTAAACAGATCAACTTTTAATATCAAAAAGAGGAAAACATCAAAAAATATTGTCAATTTTAAATAATGAAGATATTCGATCACAAATTACTCAATATTTATAATTATACAAGTTTCACATATCAATTTGAAATTCAAAACATTTATTGAAGATACTATATTACCTGGACTAGAAGTTGAACAAAGAATAACTATTTCCAAAGAGACATGTAAAAATGGCTTCAAAAACTGGGTTGGAAACATAAGCCATATCAAAAAGGAACTTATTTTAATAGTCATGAATAAGCTAATGTTGTGGAAAAAAGAATGAAATTCTTACATCGGATGAAAGAAATAGAAAAGTTTCTAATTTACTATAATGATAAAGAGTTAGACGTGGAAGTAGCATCAGATCTTTTATCTGATCAATTTCCTTTTGTTTTTGTTATACATGATGAATCTACTTTTTATGTGAATGATGATGAAAGTTATTATTGGAGTCCTCAAGGTGAATAGTCACTTAGATCAAAAAGTCAAGGCATGTCTCTTTATGTTAGTAAATTTTTATGTGAAACCTTGGAAAGGTTACAATTAAGCATAAAGGAAAAAAAGAAGAATAAACAACTTCTACTTAATCATTCAAACTATCTTCCATATATTAAAGCTTATGTTATTATTGAACTGGAAAAAAACAGAAATGGATACTGGACACATAAAAACATAGCAAAACAGGTAGGTTTTAAAAAATCATATTTATTTTAAAGAATTCTAAATTTATTTATTTTTATTTTAGCTAAAGAACAG